GGGGGGGGGGGGGGGGGGGGGGGGGGTGGGTTTACACGCAGACCCCACTGTCAACCACTTTCTTTAAGCACAGTGTTGGTGCTCTCAGTACACGTTTAGTTATTTTCGAGTTCCCATAAAAATAGCTTTTGCAGACTCCAAATTAAAAGCTTGTGGTCCCTTAATGATAATTTCGCTTTGATCGTTTATAGGGACGAAAATACAATTCGGCAAGCAGAAATTTCTTTATGACTTTAGCGAGTGATGACATTTAGATTTAATCATGTTTAGAGGATTTCTTACGGAAATCATATTATTGATAGCAACCGTGAAAAAATGTATCCATGAAAATTGTTGAATTAATTTAACACTCGTTCTCAAAAGCAGTGGTTGGTCACTAATGTGTGTGTGTGTGTGTGTGGAGGGTGGGTGGGTGGTTGGGTGGGGGAGGGGCTGCTTAAGAATTGACAGATTCAATCAACTGTTTCCAAGAAAGTCCACGAGATTCAGCCATCTACCAAATAAGGACATCACCTTCATTGATTTATAATAATTTATAAAATAACATGTGGTAAAATGGAGCTGATGTCATTTTGATTGGAGTGTCTCTTGTCTTCTGTAGTGCCTCATATAATCCTTACTTATAATCCTTACTTATAATCCTTACTTATAATCCTTACTAATGGTCCTTACTTATGATCCTTACATATGATTCTTAAACATGATCCTTACATACAATTCTTACATATAGTGTCTAGTCCTTTCATACGATCCTTACATATGATCCTTACATATGATCCTTACATAGGATCCTTACATATGATCCTTACATTATGTCCTTACAAATGATCCTTACATATGATCCTCACATACGGTCCTTACATATGATCCTTACATACTGTCCTTTCATACAATTCTTACATACGATCCTTATATATGATCCTTACATACGATCCTTACATATGATCCTTACATATGATCTTTCATATGATCCTTACATCCTTCCATATGATCCTTACATACGATCCTTCCATATGATCCTTACATATTGTCCTTTCATGCGATCGTTACATATGATCTTTCATGTGACATTTTCATAACAGTTACACTGATCGTCTGTATTTCTAGGCATCAAAATGAGCATCAGGGTGAATAGAAACAACAAGTTGCTGACCTACTTGACCAATGAAAACTTCTACAGCTACGACAGTCCCCAGGTCTACCTCTAGTAAGTTCAATACCATGATAGCTCAATACATGATAGGCATCTCAGAAATATCGATTATTATTTAATCTTTTAGTAAAACATTTTATTTCGACTGAATCATGTACATGAATAAATCTCTGAGCCATGACTATGGGTGAAAAATATTGAGACTAACGTCACTTTGTTACTCTGCCAACCCCCCCCCCCCCACGCCAAAGTGTGCAAGAAAATAGTTACATCAATAAAATAGCACGATTATAGTCTTTGACCCATAAATGTCGAATATGGGAGGTGAAGATGCTGGTTGCCACATGACATTTGAGTTGTTTAACCAAACAGTTATCAATAACGTGTAGCTGAGACGAGAACTGCGTGCTTCTGTATCTATGGCGCAATTGAGCAAGGGTGCTGCTGTATCTGTTGCGTGACTGAGCAAGGGTGCTGCTGTATCTGTGGCGTGACTGAGCAAGGGTGCTGCTGTATCTATGGCGTAACTGAGCAAGGGTGCCGCTGTATCTATGGCGTAACTGAGCAAGGGTGCTGCTGTATCTATGGCGTAACTGAGCAAGTTGGTCCGTGGCGTGACTAACATTCCAGTGATGACCAAAAAACCCGCCAATCAGTCGTGATCAACAGCTTTCACCACGAGACACGTCATAGGCGAACTCGGTACAATCGATGGCAGGACGATGTGTCCCAGCAATGTAGTCCCGGAACTGATCAACAAGTAAAGCATCTGCTTCACTGTAAGACAGAGCAACTAGTACAGTTACACCGCCACCAAACGGAAGTCCCAGCCACCATTCCAATGACTCAGTAAGCCCAACAAAAAGTGTCCTCATGTTCAGCAGCGGGATGTACAGCCAGAACTTCCACTTTGGACTCGTTCTCAATAATTCCCATGTTGAGATGCACAAGCTGGAGGGTAGTCGACGCTGATAAAACAAGGACGACATCACGATTGTGCGACCTCCTTTATCAGCCGAGACTGAAAGTCGACTTTTTTTTTTCCCGATTTCTTTTTCTACACACCTATCCCCCGGGGACCGTACTCCTACGCCTTTTTTACTGGATGTTTATTTCAGCAATGAGCAGCCCGTTGTCTTGTTGC